TCTGTCGTCCCGGTTTGAGACGTGAGTAAAACTGTGCTCAGCGTTCAGATGTGGGAGCGTGCTGATCTCCTGCCATTGGCTGGAGTCGTGCGTGTGCCGCTAACAGCTGCTTCGTCTCGTCGGAGTGCTAACATGAAGCCGAGCTCGACACATATGACAGAGATGCTCAAAACTCTGCCCCGGTGTAAAAGTCCCGGTGTGTGGGTTCAAGAAGGACTTCAGTATAAGTTCACCTGCTCCTCTTCCTCCTTTTCCTCCTCGTTCAGGCCACCCAGGGTCCCTGCAACGCTCCCAAACCCGGCATGCTGGACTTTGTCAACAAGGCCAAGTGGGACGCGTGGAAGTCTCTGGGCTCCATCTCACAGGTACAAACACAGCAGGGAGATAAATGATGAAGGGTCGTTGCTCAGCTGTCTGTAGGAAGTCTTTTATTCTCTCGGGACTTCAGGTTAACGCTCTTTCCTGAAAGAGCGTTGCTGCGCTCGGAGCTCACAGATCTGCTCCTCCTTTAGCTTCTTGATGCTAACAGGCCGCTCTGCTGTGTTCTTTCCTCTTTGGTTTGAATCTGTTAGGATGAAGCCCGACAGAAGTACTGCGACCTGATTGGCTCCCTGGTGGAGGCAGAGACTGGAAGCTCCGCCCAGGTGAGCGCACAGCCAGCTGGGAGCGGTGCGACCTACGAGACGCTGTTGGTCACCAAGGAGGATGACATCACCACCATCAAACTGAACCGACCGGCCAAGAAGAACGCCATCACGACCGAGGTCAGCCACGCTTCAGACCGAAGCTACTCTGAAACAAACATGTACACCTGCTTTTCTTCTTACATCTGTGTTTCCTGTCAGATGTACAACGAGATCATCGCCGCTCTGGAGCAGGCGGCCACGGACGACTCTGTCATCACCGTCGTTACAGGTGTGCACACGCACGCACGCGCACACACACACGCACACACACACACAGGGCTGTGTGTCAGGTCCTGTGAGCTTCCAGAACAAACCACTGACAGGAAGAAGAGTCAAATGAATAAAGTTGCTGTGTGAACGTCTCTGATTCATCATCAGGCCTGCAGATGTTACTGAACATCATGAATGATTGTTGCTGTTCGTGGAGAGAATGAGTCTGAGGAAACGCGGCGGTCCGTCCTCGCTGGGACTAAACTCCGACTGAAACCTTCAGGCTCGTGTTGAAGTAAACGCGTGTTCTCTTCGTTCTCACGTTTCAGGCGCCGGCGATTTCTACTGCAGTGGAAACGACCTCACCAACTTCACCAAAATCCCGGAGAACGGGGTGGAGGAGATGGCCAGACGGGGTGCAGATCTGCTCAGGTGAGTGTTCATGATGGAAGCAGCAGGAAACCCACTGTACTCGAGTAAAAGTATTCATGTCCTTAAGTATAGCGTAGATCACAGTGGCTCTGCATGCACGCCGTCATCTGCATCATGTGAGGTCGTCTCCTTGTTGACCTCTGAACCTCAAACTGCTCTGAAGGAGAGATCAGCCTGAATCATTCCCGCCTCGCACAGTCAGGATGTTTTATCTGGTGCCAAAGCTGAAACCCTGAGCTCTCCTCTGTCTCTCTGCAGGAAGTACGTGAACGCTTACATAGACTTCCCCAAGCCGCTGGTTGCCGTGGTGAACGGACCGGCTGTGGGCGTGTCTGTCACTGTGCTGGGCCTCTTTGACCTGGTCTACGCCACAGAGAGGGTACACACACACACACACACACACACACACACACACACACACACACACACACACACACAGAGAAGACGTCACATGATGATGGTGAAACCTTTGACTCGTAGGCTCAGGATGTTTGAGTGCAGACTCAGGTGTGTTTCCTCACCTGGATGATGATCACGTCACAGCTGGACCTGCTGTGCGTGTTTATTCTGACTGCGCTGCAGCGCAGCAAGATTATCAGTGCACCATAACACAGGCTGCAAAACACCATCTCCCTGCCCTCCCCCCTCCTACTGACTCCCACAATTACTCCCATTTCCTGTCTGTATTTCTCTGGAGTCTGTTCATGTGGATGTAGGCTTCCATGATCAGTGAACTGACCTCCCAGCCCATTGTTCCTTCAGTGGGCTGCAAACCTGCAGTCAGCTGAGACTGAAGACGTCGGCTGGATGATGACGAAACGTTTCTCCCACTGAACACGTCCAGATGAACAGAATCAACTTTTGGAGATTTACTTACCTGGACGGTCGAGCGTGCATCAGGATATGATTGATATGTTTCTTGACTCGGGTATAGGACAGCAGATCTCAGTTTAAAAGGGAAACGACACGTAATTAAACTAAAAAGAGTTACGAGAAAACCTTTTATTTAATGTTTTTCCTGGTTTCAGTGAGTAAAAATAAGAGACCTGTGTTATCCTCATTTATCTGATGCTGGGTGTTGATGCAGAGCTTCATTGTTATTGTTAATGAACAATTTAACGTCCAGTTTCCATGAAAGACACCTTTTCAGGTCACGTGACAGCGACCTGCTCCAGGTGGTGACGCTGTGCCTCTGTGTGTCTCAGGCCACCTTCCACACTCCGTTCAGTCAGCTGGGTCAGAGCGCCGAGGGATGCTCCTCCTACACCTTCCCTAAACTCATGGGTGCTGCTAAGGTACACACACACTGTCACAGAGGCAGTGCTCATGAACGCTGCCCCCTGCTGGTAACCTGTGCACACTGCAGGCAGCTGTTAGGACTGATGACACGTTTCCGTGTGTGTGTGTGTGTGTGTGTGTGTGTGTGTG